TGTTATTATCTTTTTTTAAAATCTGAAATCATTTTGATGTTTCAGGAGAATCTGAGTTCTCACAGTGACCTTTCTGCCAGCAGCGACAGCCTGTCTGAAAACAAGGTGAGGCCCTGTAGCTGCTGTAGTGGCAGCAGAGATAATGTTATCTGGAATTACAGTGTACACATACAGCTCAGTGGTATATTTACCTGCAAAATTAGTTGTCTGACTTTGGGTAGAATAACCGAGCATGAGCATGCTGTTCGTGTCTGTTTCAGGAAAAAAAACAATGGTACAGCGGGATGTTAAAGAAGAGGTGGAAACCAACACAAAGTCTTCAAACTGATCAGGTAGAATCATCAAAAATACACATAAAACATACCAGATTATATGCACATGTATTGCGTAACTAGTCACACAATAGACATAAGGTTGCATGATTAGGTTACTGCTTCCATCACCTGATAATCAAATTGCACGCTCTTATTTTTTGGGCAGGACAATAAAGCAGACAGTAATTCTGAAGACCTAGAAGAAGAGGAGAAAACATCAGAGATGCCTCATGTAAGTTTTCTTATCTTTAGCAAATGAGGAAATTCTCTGCACAAGAGGATAGAGGCCGAGGGAGGGAGTTAGATAAGCTGCTATGGAGTTGTTTTTGTTCGGAAGCTCTAATTTTGTACATGCGTTTAGATCATCAATATCAATTCTCTTGTGTTTGTGGAAAGATGGAGATGTGTGGTCATCATCATGTTTTATCTGATCTATCTTAGGAAAAGGGAGGCTACTTGTTTGGTTTCCTTAAAAAGCCAAAAAAACCAGCCGCTGAGACGCCAACGCAGGTGAGCTTGCAACAGAACTGTTCAAAATAATAATTTAAATTGTTAAAATAATGGTTTAACTTTTAGGAAAACTTATTTGCGTTAGAAATACGTGGACAGAAATATTCATTTTAGTTTATCGGTATATTTTTTTTCCCTCTCAAATGACTTTGGTGTTTCAGGAGAATCTGAGTGCCCACAGTGAGCTTTCTTCCAGCAGCGACAGCCTGTCTGAAAACAAGGTGAGGTCCAGCAGCTGCTGTAGTGGCAGCAGAGATAACGTCACGTGGAATTTTAATGTACACACAGAGATCTGTGATAAATGAGCACGAGCATACTGTTCCTGTTTGTCTCAGGAAAAAAAACTATGGTACGCTGGGATGTTAAAGAAGTTGCCGAAACAAGCCAAAGCTGAAAGTAATCAGGTAGAAAATCTGATAAAACATTCCCTGACTCCCATGATGTTTTTCATAACTACTCAAACAAAAAATTTTGTTTCAGGACCAGCAGTCCCTGCATGGTGACTTACCCAACTCTAATGATGATCTGACTGAAGCCCAGTCAAAGGTGAGGATCATTTAATATTATCTTGATGAAATTCCAATTAATTGTTCTGATGTCACCAAGAAAAGATTATTTTTTTTATTTTATTTTGAGTGGAATCATTTGCGGAAATCCCAAAACTCCTGGAGAAGGGGATGTGTAAACCGCTGAAATTATTAAATGACAGGCTCTCAATAACTAGTGTGCATTTGGGGAGGCCACCCAGATACATTTGCAGACTTATTTTTATCTATTTCTAGTCTGTATTAGAAAATAAAAAGTGCGGAACAGTCGTCCATCTCTAATTTTAAAAGTTCAGTCACTACTTACTTTTCCAACCTACCCCATCTGTTATGTTTCACACTAGTTTCTACTGTGGCAGTGCAAATATCATTCAGCTTCTTCTCCATAGAGGATCTCATTCCACCATTAAATAGACTCCAGTTTGACCATCTTGGACACGCAGCATGTCCTCATACTGCTCTGGATGTCCGCTGAGAGCTGCAGCACCCATGCAGTCCAAGTTCACCCACGTGACATGAGACTCACAGGCGAGGCAGCTGAATTACATCATTCGGCTACATCATGAAATACACAACAGTTTAAATGTTTGCAGAGGAGAAACTTAAAAATGGCTTTTTAAAAATGTATTTCAGAGTCAGTCTTTTGCAGCACTCAAATCCATTGAGAAATGCAGAAAAAAATTTTTTTGCACCTTTGGTACATGCACACGCACAAACATCTTAAATCTTACGTCTGTAGGAAAAACATGAACTACTGCAAATATTGGTTTATGCTGAAGGAAACTCAGGTAGGGTTCATGTGGTGGTCAGTAAAATACTAAAGGGTGTAAAGTGGAGAACATGGGGGGGAAATGGAGTTTATAGTGTATGTGTTAAGATAAGTTAAAAGAGTAAACAGCACAGTGAGGATAATGGAGGCAAAAGTGACAACGAAAAATAGTTTTTATCAAACGTTGGAGGACTTTGTGTTATTATAATATTCATATCTGAAGCCAGAAATCTGAGGGTGATTGAACCAGACACTGCTAACTGACTGATGAAAACGCCAGTTGGTGGTGAAAACCTTTTTCTACTGTGTATAGGAGAAAGGAGGTGGAGCGTAACAGACAGCTACAAGCTACAGCTGCCAAGGTTGGCACCAACCTGTAATCAAAG